GCTCTTTGCACCCACCGCGGGCTGCGCGCTGGGGCTGGCCGAGGTCTCCGGGGCACCGTGGCGGCGGGGACCTCCTGGGGGGTCTCACACAGGTTCCCATGCTTGTGCTGTTGCATCCGGACCGGGGTGGGGGGGCAAAGTCCCGGCGGGCTAAGGAGGGAGCCGCAAGCCAGCGGGACCATGCTGAAGGCGCCAGGGATGGGTCCTTTCACCTGGACCAGGCAGGGTTGCAGCATATGAAGGGGTGAAGACACCTTTGCAACAGCCACCCCCCTTCCCCCAGGCTAATCCCAACCCCGTCCCGGGACCAGAGCACTCTGGAAGCACCAGGACAGCCCCGGTTTGACCTGTTGCTCCGCAAAGCTCCCGAGCCCGGCCCCAGCAAGGATACGAAGATGTAATCGTCCATAAAGCGCTTCTTGAGGTTCTCCACGATGGCCTCCTCGGTGATCTTGGAGAGCAGCACCATGTCGTCCACGCCGCTCTGCTTGACGTTGTGGCTCTGCCAGTGGAAGCGCTCCTTGCTGCCCTGCGGGGAGACGGCGAGAGCCGCTGTGCCGGGGCGCTCCCGCCACCCCGCGCGCGGCACGCGTCCGGCGTGGCGGGTCTGCAAAAGTTCCTAAAAAGCTGCTTGGGGGAAACGCTGGCTGAGCAAGCAGCAAAGTCCCGCGTGTGGGCCAGCGTTTGCCCCGCTGGGAGCCGCTCCCCGGGCCGCAAAAAAATCTGATAGCAGCCCAGCGGGTGTTTGCCTGACCCGGCGCACCCGCAGCTCGCTGCCTCCCCGCTGCATCTCTGCCAGCATTCGGTGCAGCCGCCAGGCTGAGGACAGCTTGGGGCACAGGTGTTAATACTCCTTGGTCACCGCTTCCTCCCTGCCCGGGCAAATGCGGCACTTCACAACTGCAGAGAAAAAAAGCCCCCAAAGGTGGCCTGGCTCTGTCCTCTCGTGATAACGGGGCTGGAAGGAAAACCATGGGCTGCAATTTAAGCCCTAGCGGGGCTAGATACAGCCCTTCCCAGACACGAGATGGGAAGATTTCACTTTGCAAATAAAAGGAAAAAAAGCAAAGCAAACCAAACCAATCCCCGCTCCGCCGCCCCCGGCTAGGCCTCTCTCATCCTCGCTGCTACAAAGACGACTTGCTGAACGTGACCGCGGTGCAGAGCTGCAGCGAGGCGTGCAGCCGGCGTGCAACGCCCGCGAGGGCCGCACTGGCACCGAACCGGGGCCAGGCTCGGAGCCGGCAGGGGGGCCCCGGGCCTGGG